GCATATATATATATAGGACAAACTAGATATAGGGTAATTTTCTGCACATGTCAATAGCAGTTTCAACTACCCTTTTAGAAAATGAAAATACTATATATAAATATATACATATGTACACATGTATAAAAAACAAATAATGATAATAATAATATATGTATATAAACATTATGAACACTTATTTTCAAGTGACTTTTTTACATTCATACGTTCACACATACACAAAATATACATAAACACCATATGTTCAAGTGTATAAGTGCGCAAATGCACTCATATACCCCAATACAAATATTGCAAGGCAATTTCCAGGGCTGAAATAATAATTCAACCCCATAACAATGAAAAGAAATAAGAAGGACAACATCAATTAAAAGTAATGTAGACCATATTAAATACATTTTTTTTAAAAAGGATTCTGGGAATATCCAATATTTGTTAGCTGGAGTAATCTGCAAATAGAATTTTTTTTAATTTAGTTTTGAATTGTTGATGACAAGTGATACTTGAAAGGTCTGGGTGAAGTCCATTCCACGTTCTAACTCAGATTATGGATAAGCTGTGTGATTTGATGGTCGTTCTACAGGGTTTGCTACACAACCAGTTGGATGCCTAGTTGGGTATTTCCTGACTGTAGTTTGGAACTGCTTTTGAATGTTATTAGGCATTTTGTTATGGAAAATGTTGTGCATAATCAGTACTGTTTTAAGCTTTACTATGTCAACACTTTTTAATAGATTGAGTTTTTTAAATATGGGAGTTGTGTGTTCATATTTACCAACACCAACACTATTCGTAATACTTTTTTTTGGGATGTCGGATTGGTCCAAACGTAACGGCTCCATTTGGACCAATCTGCGGAGCCGTTACGTTACGTCACTTTACCCAAATACGTCACTATACCCAAGAAGTAAACAATGGAAAAAGAGAAATCTCCAACGAGGCGTTCTGGGGCAGCATAGACAGGGATTTTCTGTGTTAGAGTTTTACTCGCTATAGGGTGTACTTTGAGGGTTTGTGACTCTGCACACCGTTTACATGCAGAAAAACCTACATAACACACAAGGGGACGGGTAATAACCAGAAAAGCATGACATGGGACCTTTAACAAGATCGCCAAGATTATGATGGGAGCAGAGAACAAAACATCGGCAAACAGAATTAATTTGAACAGGTCTGAGGTGTTGATAATGTCATTAATATAAATCAGAAACAGTTTTGGACCTAAAATTGATCCTTGAGGGACTCCACATGTTATAGGAAGCTTGTTTGATTTTGCCTCGTCTATATCCACATATTGTAGCCTATTTATCAGATAACTCTTAACCCATTCTTTTGCTTGACCCCTTATGCCATAATGTTCTAATTTGTGTAGCAGTATAGTATGGTTCACAGTATCAAAAGCCTTTTTAAGGTAAATGAATATACCAGCTGTAATCATTTTTTTCTCAATGTTGTTGGTAATTTCTTCAACCAGTTCAATTAGTGCTGAAGAAGTAGAGTGATTTTTCTGAAATCCATATTGGCTGGGGCATAGTATATTACATTTGCTGAGGAATGACTCCAGACGGTTGTTGAAGAGTTTTTCCATGATTTTTGAAAATTGTGGTAGTAAAGAAATGGGTCTATAGTTATTAAGACTTGATTTATCACCAGATTTGAACTGATCTTAACTGAATTAATCAACCATTGTTTATATCCTCATGGTCATCTTATGCAAGGAAATCAGGTATAACACATGTACCCCTGTCAGAATTCCATTAAAATCCTCAAATGTCTGCAGGAATAAGTTAATGGCCCTATACTTCATGTAGAAAAATGTTGTCTTCAAAAGAAGAAAAAACTTTTGTTACCATATGTGTTGATTTGGTGTTTGAGCACTGTTCATAGGAGGCTTTGTACAGCTGGCTTATTCACACTGTGGCAGAATGGCCCATCAAGCCCCCGTAGAGAGGACACATGCTTTGGGTAATCAGCTCTGGAAAAGACCAGACTGTCTGACGATGAACTTACACTGCAGCATTATCCAAGAGGAAGATAGAAGATACAGACTGTACGACCTTTTAATAAAGACAAGAGGGTTAGCTACTCCCCTTAAAAACAACAAGGTGCCGCGTGACATATGCAGAACAAAGACCTGATTGTTCCTCCACCAGGGCATGATGGAAACAGTAGCCGCCACATCACTTTGTAAATCTGTCCCTTTAATGGCTGCTCCCACTGTTCTCACTGTGTGCAATGGTTGTGTGCATGAGATAAAAGTGTACAGGGATAATGTGTATATGGTAGAGTGCGTGGGTGTTGATTCAAGTTTGCTCATCCATGGCTTAGGATACACAGAGGATATTGTAGACTACTGGGTTTGGCTCTGAACCACTTGTTATTAAGTATCCGTTCATCAGGCGGAACCCCACAGGCGTGAGCGGGGCCTCAGAAGGCGTTATATAAGAGTGAGTTTGGCTTAGTTATTCCCTTCTGTGTCTCCATCCAGCCCATATTTCTCCTTATTTCTCCCGTAATAGGAGCAAGCTCTCGCTGTGAAGGGAATGCAGCGAACTGGAATGTGTTTATGCAGAAACATACTGCTTAATGTACTGCTGAATTGCACCCAGAGCTTGAGCCAGGTTGCACAGAAAATGAAGAGGCACTTTTTCAAGGTACTTTTCACCCACTGGGAAACAGACCTCATCCTTGGTACTTGTTCTGTTCTTTCCCTTAATATACTCGTCCTCTTCTCCTTTAATCACAGTTATAGCTTTTGGTTTAAAGCGCTGTTGGAGAGTTACAGGTCACACACTGCCGGAGTTTTCGGATCGGTGCAGGAGATTCTCAGAATGTGTTCCCTCCGATCCTTCTCAGTCCCCACGGGTTAGTGACGAGCTCAGCAGAGTGTAGAGTCTTGAGGGTCCTTTAGCTTTAGTTCCTTCATCTGTGAAGGTTATCTCTGAAAGGCTTTGGTTGCAACCTACAAATATATCCCCTCCAGGTAAAGTCATATAGGCGTCTTGGTTCTTGTACCTCAGTGGGTAATCTCTTTAAGGGCCCCACTCCTGGAGAGAGTGAGTTTCTCGCCGGGTAAGCTGTGAATATGTGAAAGGCCCCTGACGCCCATGTGATCAGAGTGCTGTGAGACACCCCGAGTCCTGTGGTGTCAAGCCCAGTCTCCAGCCGTGGCACCTATATCCCCAGGCAAATCACGGCAGCTGGAATTCACCTCCCCCACGCCAACCTCCTCCTTGTCACAGGAGCGCATACACACATGCGCACACACGTATATGTTCCCCTGACACACCGGGGGAGCAGGCAGGCATGGAGCTGGTCTCGGATTTTATCGGAGGTGACAGCTCCTCACACTTCAGTGTTTGGATCACCTCAAGTAGCTGGGCTATGAGGGGAAATGAGCACTGCTCCACTACAAAGTCCAGATTTAGATTGACTGAGCTTGTCCCCGGGCCTGTGGGCTGCTGCTGCTGCTGCTGCTGCTGCTGCTGTACTGCTCCTCCGCCTGACAGAACACCCACTACTGCTGCGAGGGACTGGTGTGTGTATGTTTGTGTGTACGTCTGCGTTATGTATATGTGCACATGTGTGTGTGGGACTTGGGGGAGCCTACTTTGAAGAGTCAGAGAGAGTGGGGGAACGAGAGCGATGTGTCAGGTTTGGTTAGAATTGAGGGTGGCATCAGAATATGCTTGGCACTAATATGGCACCAGTATCTCTGTCCCCGTCTCTGCTTTCTGTCACTTAGTTGCCATTCTCTTCCCGCCCTTGACAATGTCTCTTTGGATTATGTGATTGGACTTAGTGCTCGGAGCACCCCTCATCCCTCTGCGACACCGCCTCTCCCATAAGTCTCTCCTTTTCTGCCCTGTCTTCGTCCCGGCCCCCTCCTCCTCCCCTAATACACTTGATGTCTATTTAAAAAGCCTGGCGAAAGCTGTATCTGTTCTGCTGTCAGAGGATCATTGACAGCACTAATGCCACTTGTCCTTGCCTCATTTGGTGAGAGGTGACACCTAGCTGCAGCCCGGCCACATTCATCAAGTGGCAGGACTGTGACATCTGAGCAGAGCAGCCACAGAGCGCAGGGCAGCCCCCTCTCTGGACAGCAACACCTCTCATTACGAAAAGAAAACACGGACGGCCATCTTGAATCCCTGCTCTGGGATGTTGCTTCTTTTTAAGAATTTTAACTTGTGTATGTATGAGCAAACATTTGCTCAACTTTCACTATGAGATACATGCAACTTCTCAGTAGCTCCGGCACCATAAAATATATTGCATAATTGGTGCACTGAAGAAAGTTCTGAACTCCAAAATGTATCTGTATTATCAAGCATATTTTAGAGGTCTAATATGGATAAATGAAAATACCATGCCTGCTAATTATTGAATAATTGTAGCTGTGATGGGTCAGCGTGTGTGTGTGTGTGTGTGTCTGTGTGGGTGTGTGTGGGTGGCTGGGAGCTTGTTACTGTCAGTCCCTGCCCCGAGGCCACACTGGTCTCTCTTTAGAACAAGATGCTCTTATTTCCCAGCAGTACCTCCCAGCCTACAGTTCATGCCTGCCATTTGAAGCTAGACCCTTTGGATGTGTTAAAAAAACATGTCTTTGTTTGCTTTGGACGTGTTTTACTGAAATTCATCGTGTTTGTCCTTAAGGTCCAACGAATTAAATGCAGGTAATACATCCTAAAATGTTGTTTTGAATGTCTCTACATTGGTATATTGTTTATAGATCCCTTGAGAGGTCTCGCCCTACAGGTTCGGGAACATTGCTGCTCATCTATAAATTATACACTGCTATTATATATGTGAATATGGCAAGAAACAAGGGACTAGTCTAGTTGGTGTTTTTTCAGTTTGTTTCTAAACTATACCAAGAGTTACAGTGCTAATCCTGATAGAAAAGGAGGTTAATTCATTCAAATGCATTTCTTTTGTCAATTTCTCAGTTGTTTTTCAAGCTACAAGCTCAATTGACTGTCTCCCTCTGTTTTTAGGGATATTCGCCAAGTGTCGCTACGTCTACTACGGCAAGCACTCAGAAGGCAACAGATTCATCCGAAACGACCAACTCTGATGGACAGCCGCTGAAGAAAAAAGAGTGACAAGAGATGTTACCAGAAGGAAAGAGAAGAAAATCAATCTCCTATTTATTAAAGACTGGTGATATTTGAGTTACCTGATCTCCCGCTGGAAAAACAGATTTAAAGTTCACAAATAATATTTAGTTATTCAAGTGGAAGGTTTTAGTTTTTTTTTTTAAGTTTGCATTCCAGCCCTATAGTTACGGCCCTGTCTGCTGAGCTGGGTCTGATTCTGCTTTCCTGCTTCCAGCTCAGAGTCAGAGATGACACTCCCACTGAAATGATTGCCTCTAAGCATCAGCATCCGCACAACTACAGACACACACAACACACACAAGCACGCAAAGACAGCATCTCTCTTTCTTTCTTCTCTATTCTCTTCAGTGACAAACACACCCAAACAATTGCATCCTTTTCTTTGACAGCCATGATGGATCACCCGTCCACGATGCCACTAATCAAGGGTGAAAGGGGTGACGGTCACACACCTGGGGCTTGACATGGACTCATCTCTCTTGTGCTCTCTTTCTCTCTCCCCCTCTGTCTCCATTTCTCACACACACACACACACACACACACACACACACACACATATAACTGCTGTTTAAAACATTTAAGGCATAAACATGTTTATAAAGCCTTGTTAAACTTTTCTAAGCGTTTTAGTCCAAACTTAAGGCAAGCTCAGTCTATCTTCTTAAGTTTGTGTCAAACTGAAGAATGCTTTTCCCTCTTTTGTTTGAATGAATTTGATCTGTCTCTCTTAGAGAATATAAGCCATGATTTGGTCAGTTTCTGTTGCAGGTGTGTACTGTATGTTAAAGCACATGTGTAAAGAGGTATTTAATGCAGCTTTGAATGTATACACATTCCAATACCAGCTTCAAAGAAGAACAGAGTTGTAACCTAGTATGCATTCCAGGTATGGTGTTATGTATTACAGTATGGTGTCATGTTCTCCTTGTTTTAATTGTTCCCGACTCTGTGCTATGAACTACTTCATACTGAAATGGTCCCTTCACTAACAAAGCAAAAGGCTTACTCTTCAGAAAATTGTAACCACTGTCATATTTTCTCTACAATTGTAGTGTCCAAATGCACTATTTTAAAGGGGACCTATCATGCAAAATGCACTTTTGTACATCTTTTATACATGAATATGTGTCCCCGGTGTTCCAGGGAACTCACCAAGTGTCAGAAAACACAACCCTCTCTATTTTCCTCCATACCCAAATCTCTAAAAAAGGGGCTGCAACGGATCTGATAAAAACTGATCCAGATTTGAACACTTCTATGTCGTCACAGAAGTGGCGCTACGGCTATTGGGCCAACTCTCCACCTATCAGGGGAATGTGGGGTTGGGCCACGGCCGGCTATTGCCGCTCGAAAGCGCTGGAGACGCTGTAGTACATATGCCACAAAAGCAGCGAAGAAGACTTCCCGCCCATAGTTACCATGGTTACCCTTCTGTTTATTCTCCGCTGTGGCTTTTTTTCTCCCTCCCCGAGGCAAGCGTTTGCTCCCGCTGCTTTAATTCAATGCAATCCCTCCCCGTCGAGGCAAGCACTGTAATTCTCTCCGGTAGTCCACCAGCAGATGACAAACACCCACCTCTCCGCCTCTTCCAAGGAACGAGGGGACCGTGCGGCAGAGTTTCAGTTTTCGGTTTTCTTTCGCCGGTCAAGATGTCCGTTAAAGTTTAAATCTTCCGAACAAAATTAGAAAAGTGCCGGTCAAAGGTCTTCTTTGTTATTTATTGAGCTTTAAAACAAATGAATAACGACTCTATATAATAAAACACGGAGGACGGAGATCTATTTTTCTCCCCCTCTTGACTTGATCAGAGCACGGCTCCCCTCTCCTGCAGGGGGCGTGGTCAGCTGCAGCTCACAGAATCAGCCCCGTAGACAGCAAACAGCAAATAGAGCGAAATGAGGCATGGCTAAAATGCATGATCTGTTTGGTATTTTGAAAACAGAAACGTATAAATATACCTTATATAGGTATGGCCCTACAATATATCATTTAAATATAGCATGATAGGTCCACTTTAAATATATATATATATTTTAGAATTATTGTATGATCACTATGGTTTACGGTGCACTGTTCATGTGTTTATTATAATGTTTAATGTGCAACAACCTGAGGTAACTGCTGTGATATGTTACCATCTAGTTACCGTTCTACAGGCAACCTTCCATTCTGAAACTTGCACATGTATAATGTGATTTGGATGATCTGATATGAAATTGCCTTTGCTGGATGTCTTCAAGTGATTAAAAGGGTTCAACTAAGGTGTCTGTTGTCAAATCGCTGTTATAAGCTTGACCCATTGGCAAACAGGTACATTTTCTCTTAAACCTTATACTACAGTATACTAACAAAGGAGCATACAATTGGATAAATAAGACTTTACACTGCACAAGATGTATGAGAGTTTGTAAATTGTTTTTTTATGATGTTGTTAAACATTCCTCTATTAGGGAGGCATGTGAAAAAGTTGTTTTCACAAATTCATATGCATCACATTAATAATATGTTCCTGCCAAAAGAGTCAATCAGCATTTGAATAGTCCTGTGTTTATTCATCATTACAACCATAAAAAAAGCTACAAATATATCCCAGACTGACTTCTCAGGTCTAGCCGAATGGACTGATTATATACTTAGAGGTGAAGTAGCTGAACAAACCATTGTGATGAATTTGAGGGAAGGGACTTGCTGTTTATGGGATTTATGTGGAACTTCAATCCTGTGTGTCAATCATCCACAGACACGAAGGAAAGGTCAGAGATGGCCTAATGCAATTTGTGTCTGTTTATTTCTTATTTCTATTAGTTTAACAATGTTGTGCTTGTAAGAGTATACATGCTCGCTGGCCTGAGCTTATACGCCACTTTTGTGTGACCATATTCCAGCTGACATGCCATTCAGGAGCCTGGTCACTAGTGCCAGCGTTTCAAAATGACAAGATTTATTTGTCTGTGTTTTGACATGCTCAGAGGAAACTTGGGCTGACAGCCGGAGGAGGTAGGAAGAGGGGAGCCACAACAAGTTTCCCCCCCCGCACGACACAAAATGTCATCCTTCCCCTGGCTGCGGCGCGCGCCCAGCCATCCTGCTGAAAAGAGCAGACATTTAAAACTTTGTGACATGTGTCACAGGCACTGCCATTGAGCCAGTGCCACTGACAGAGCTCGAATTGACAGGCCCCGAGCCACCGGAGCTGGCTGGGGGACACACCGAGTTTGGTGTGTGTCACTTCCTATCCTCGTCAGGGACGTATCCTAAGCTGCCATACCAACACAAACTGTATTATGGGATGGGCGGAGAGTGCCAGAGTAGGTTGACATATGCTTGACGTGCGCCTTTGTTCTTGTAAGGGAATGAACACGAGGCCTGGCATCACGGACAGTAGATTAATTAAGGTGTGAGCCGCGGCTTTCTACCTGTAGGCGATGCCCTCCATGACCCCTACCTCTGTCGCTGCTGCTGCTCCTTGGGAACTTCCTGGCTGAACAAATGGCACGCCACTTTATCAGAGCAGATCAGTGACATTCTATAGTAGCCCTGCAGGCTGCTCTGCCACATGTGTGCACTCGAAAGGCAGGCATACCTATATGCCTGTATATTTCCTGTGTATCCATACTTGAGTGAGCAACTGCTGGATGCCTGTGTATAATATCTGTATTGAATTTCGAATACCTTTAATGTATTTTTATTTATTATGTGGCATTGAAAACATAACACCAAAAACTAAACATTTGAAACTTGCATTTTGTAAAAGTCTAAATTGAAGTTTGATTTAATCCTAAATATAAAATAATGTTTGGAGTATCCAGTGCATTCACATTTGTGAGAAAGATGTTGGATGTGCTTTTAAGCAGCAGTGACTCTGGTATAACTCATGACACTGGTATGCACTCATCATGATATTGTTTACAGTTGTGATACAGTAGTTTTAGGAGGCGTGTGGCGCAGTGGGTTGTGCGTAGGTGTTTGGATCAGAGGGTCTCAGGTTCAAACCCCACTGCAGTCAGCATGTCGTTGTGTCCCTGGGTAAGACACTTTCTCCCCAAATTTCTCCTGTGGGGATTGTCCACAGAACTGAATGTATGTAAGTCGCTTTGGATAAAAGCGTTTAAGTAACATGTAATGAAATGTTTTACCAGCAGGTAACATGATTGCTAAACAGGAAGGTTAACTGAGTTAATACTGTGTAGATTATATCCTGCAAAAAAGACATTAAAATTGAATATTGTTGAATGTTCTGTGATTTAGAAATATAAATTATCTGTATATTTTTGGTAAGTGGTTGTGATCCATAAAGTGTTGATGCAATGTTGAAGATTATTTGTTAATAAATGTTGTATTTGGTCAATTATTTTAGTCTTTATCAAATGTAAGACCCTTATAGGAAAAGTTTGTTTGGAACTTAGTTCAGAACTAACTTTTTTTATAAGGGATCAAAAAAGAGCACATAAGAGCGGGAAACGCATCAAATTGGTGTGTGTGCATGGTGTGTTTGTTTGTTCGACCGGGAACACCATGGGTGTTACAAAGTTGACTAAAACACCCAAAATTCAATGAATGTGGTGATCAGCAATTTCGTATGTTCAAATGTCTACTGTGGAAGATATCATCGAGCCTCGATGTAATCAAATGTAAAACACAAAAGTAATGAGTGATGAAAGTAGTAAATCGGTCAGATTTGACCGGAACACAACAGGAGGGTTAATGGACACGGTTATACCACAATGCAATGCATATGAAACATGGAATTTATTGTATATAGTGCATATTGTATTTTTTTAATTACATTGCAAGACAATATTTTCCAGATTTTTGGTATGTTAAAATGTATCTAGATACTGTATAATCTCTGAGCTATATATTGCATTGGTGGCACAGCTCATTCACCTCCCCAAAAGGCACAGTAGTGGGTGACTCACTGTCAAAGGGACTGAGGACCAATCACTCTGTCACTACATATCATCCCATAGCCTGATGACGGATTGGCATGAGCTAATGCAAATTTACAAGGAGAAAAAAGGGACTTGTCTTCATGAGTGACAACTGGCCATTGATAGCAGAACAGAAAACAGGATGGGGTGAGATTTAGATTTAACTGTCCCCATGGCTTTAGAAAGCTATTTTCCCCTCACACCCTCTGACATACAAACTCTTTCCCTCCTGCACCTGAAGTCATTTGGCAGCACACTGCTGTCTCACTTGATCCAGAGAAGCCGAAGGGGGGGGAAAGTGGCCCTTATTTCCGGGCCCGGTCTTAGATGAGTAACATTTGTCATTCAGGGTTGTGCTGTAGTAATTAGCTTGTCAGTGGGCACTAGGCTGAGTTGGCTCTTTCTGCTAAGAAAGATGGACAGACTGACACAGGAGCTGACAGCCAGTCGATAATGTGGCAATTAATGTCATAAATAATTCCACTGCCAATTATATCAAAATGGACTCTGTTCTTTCACAGGGCCTGCTACTCCCTTATCATTTCCTCTGATAAGGGGAACAACCGTCTTCATCCCCCCTATAATTATGGGGCTTTTTATATGGAAATACCAAATGGCCTTACTCTCGCCACATGTTTATTGCACAGGGGTGAAAAGTAGACAGAGGGAGACATGGACAATAAATGTAACATGCTAATGAATCCGTGTTTTGTGCCCTTTACCTTGGGTATTTCAACGGGTCATATAACAGGACCTTGAGGCTTTCTAAATGACATTGGCATGTGCAAAAGAAAGAAGACAGCACATGATTTGAAAATACAGACAATTATGTGAGAGAGATCAATTGAAGCTGATATTCTAAAGGTTGCAAAAGCTTAACCAACAGTGGGAATATTGATCCTGACGCCCCATCACTCGGTGGGAAAAATTATATCCAATCTCTGTCTTCAAGATGCAGGTCAATCAATCGCAACAGAATGGGCTATGAGCAGGAATCAGAAAGGGCTCACTGAATAGTAAATGTGCTGTATATTGAAGGGAAATAAAAAGGGAAAAGTGGGAATTTGCTTTGAAATGCTTATTATCCGCCGCCTGGGCCTGTATCCATGGGGCCATTTGTCTCGACAAGTGACTCAGTCACTGTGAATGGTCCCCCATCAGCCTGACACTAAACTCTTCCTGTGAAATGTATGAGCAAATAAAGTG